ATTCCTATAACTGATTTTATGCTTGTGAATCCAAAACAACGTATAGCGGCCATCCGACATACACGCCATTCAACGGGGCGCAACCCAGTTGAATTTGAAAAAAAATGCGAGACTTGAAGTAGTCTGGTCTGCTAGAGGCCAGAATTGTCCCCTTTTCCTGCGTTCCATCCTTGTTTTCTCCCGAGATTAACGAGCGACACTAAGGCCGACGGTACTAATGAAGCAGCCGTCCTTACCAAACTTGCATTGATTTGTTAGGTCTGGGCATATGACGATCAAGCCAAGGGGACACACTCCGAGGCGAGGCTGAAAGTGATACTGAAATCATTCACCTATACTTCAGAGTACCGGCACTCAGAACCACCACACCACAAGATGAGGAATAGGAAACATGTTCCCATTCATGTTATCACGGCCAGTCGACCTACGGAAAGCAAAAGGGTTACCTTGTACAGTCACAACCACGAATCTAGAACCCTGACTGACCTTAGAGAATGGTCTCTACCCTCGAACACAAAAGGACACCAAGTCGAAATGGGTCATGGTCCAATCTGGTTGTGTATTGCCCTACGAGAATCGATGCTTCCAGAAACCTCCGAATCACTTTGGGCGGACATGGTGAGCAAGTCCACGGAGATCAAGCTAAGACCCGGAACGACTCGGACGCCGCCAAAGATCAACCCAAACTTGAAAGAAGTCCAACAAGCGCCGATACTGTAACTGACAAAAGTCCCCGACAGGAGCGATTTCCCGTCAGAACTGCCGACTTCTCGAAAGCACATGCAGCGGTTCCGAGCAGTGGGCGTCATCCCACCATCACTGAGGGCCAGCTGGGGCCCTGATCCGCCTGCCCTTGGACGTCCGGAATCGGTAAGGTCGCCCAAAGGAGGCATGCTGACATTATCCCCGCAGAGAAGATTGGTAGAGAGTCAGACTCGGACAACGCGCCGGAATCCGAACTGCTTTGACACTGTCTACACAACCTCCGGTCCCACTGTTCCGATAGTCGTAACTTGAAGGTCGGGCAGCCTTCCAGAATAAGTCGGATAAGAGCACGTAAAACAACGTTGAGGTGCCCAATCTGGTGGGATGGGATTGGATCACAGTACGTTACACAGTATTTGAAAATGTCACGGCAACGAGTGATGCCAAGAGCGCGTGGAAAGTATCGTGCAAACGGCGTCAGCAAAATCCTGAAGCGAAGGCCTTTGATCCCACTTCGTCTTCCTTGCCGCTAGAGAGTACGATCGAGCAACTTGCACCTTCTGATTATGTGGTGCTTTTAAAGAGCCAAAGACGAAGCGCTTGGAAAAGAATGCTGCAATAAGGTTTCTGAACACATACGCCTTCCTGCTGCCCTGATTGGGTGCTCTTAGCTTTCATCTCCCGTACAAACCATCCGAATAACGCTTGGAAAAGCATTTTTGAAATACAAATCCTTCAGATCCAGGGATGAGCCACCCTTGAATGATGCGAACACGGGTTCGTCTTTTGTTACTCATGCGGGCTTTTACTAAGGACTCCTGCCGGGCGGCTCGCAAACAAAAGAGGACATGTAACGACAACGGGGTTCCTGGCACTGGCGTATGACGTACTAAGTTACAGACGATTTGCATCGGTCCAATTCGACCACCACTGGGTTCCTCGACTTACAAAGGGTTCTTCGAGAACGCGGAGAAAGTGTGAGAGTGCTGGCTTCACTTTTACCGCTGCTCGTGGTAAACTTAGTCGATCCCAGTCGTTAATCATCTTAGCCGCATGAAATATCCACATACTTAGTGGAAAATGATCTAATAAGCCAGCGTTACCTGGCTAGGACGGCTATTAAATGTACACCAGGAAGGCAAGCCGCACTATTCAGAAAAGTTCATGGCACACACAGACAACCACGCTTCGGGAATGGAAAAGTGGGCGCCGCTTGCGCTTCGGAAGGTGGTACTTTTGGCCCCGCCCATCCTGTCATTATACTTTCCTGTCATTATACTTTCATCTGAGTGACTCAGTGAGGAGAACGTGGCTTCACGTGCTACCTTGAAGGTCCCCCGAATTTTACAGAAGAGTGGGACGTGACGTTTCGACGACGGGACAGAAGTCAGTGTAGGAATATCCTCCAAAGGCTATGAGCAGACTGAACAACAGACGTAAAAACCGTAAGAACGGCTGGCAGAATAAACGAAGCAATTTAAGTTGCTAGGAGACACGAAGGAGCCACCGAAGAGACCGTCAGAGTCATCGCAATCCAAACCTGGCGAAGCCGGTGTCCGACGCTTCATGGCCAGTCTTACTGGTTTCAATGAAGCCAGTCTGGCCGACAAAGGTTGAGACATAGCTTGAATCTGAATAGTTTGGATGACTGACAAGAATTTCTCCGAAGGTTCAAGAACGGGTGAGCATCAGGATTCAAATCTCCAGAAACGACGGAGCACGAACCAAAAGTGGTGGATCGACTCGTTCAAGTTGCGTCTGATAAAGCAACGGGACTGGGCTCGATATCTCAAGTAGCAGCTGCACATTATTTGGAGCACGCACTGGCTTTGGTAATGTTCTCACGCTCGAGAAAAGAAAGCAGAACAATCATGAGGAAAGCAAGGTATCCGAGACAGACCGAACCAGATCAAATCAGAATCCAGTGGGCGCGTTGTCAACTTGATCGTTGTGAACTCCACTCCTGGAAAGGAAAAGCGATCAACGACTGCCAGGGGCATGAGGATGGGAAGCTTCTTTGTGGGCACGTCGTCCCAGATTGGTCGTCATTGCCGAAGCGCGCTGGTGTTCAGTAGTTTAAGTGGCCGGCTCGTGAACTGCACGAGCGGTCAGAAGCTCCTCAATAAGAAAGTGTTACCCGGTAACACTTTCTGTGTTACCAACATCACCAACATCACGCCAACATCACGCCTAGTGGCTTCAGATCGATGTGTCAAACGCGTTGGGTGCGATCGCGGCCCCATTGCCAGTCTGGCTTCACAGCCCATTTGCACGGAGTCATGCAATGAACAAGTAAAGCGAGACAATGATGGACTCGATGCGCCGGTAATTCTAGATCTTCAGTCTACAAAAGAGCAAAAGCATCCCACTCGCGCCCAATTGCATACCGTCATACAAATCAGGCAAGAACACTAAGTTTGCAAATTCTGAATAGAGGAAAGCACGTACTCAAGATCAGGAAATGTGGGATTGAATGCATCCGTGGATTTGCATGGTCTGGTCATCTCTGTTCGAAGAAACGTACAGAAGCCAGTTTCAAATGCCATTCATGCGGGGGATTTCAAAAAGGCAAGAACCTGAACTTAGTACTCTGGTCTGGTAGAGGCCGCATTGATCTTCTCTGATCTGCGTTCCAGCCTCGTATTGTACCGAAAGCTGCGAGGGACCTGATCGAGGCTGACAGTATAGGTAGGACTGGGCATATGATCACAAGCCAGGGGGACACACGCTGAGGCGAGTTTGAAGGTAATACTAATTTAAATCGGGTACCTGTAGTTCAGAGCACCGGCACTCGAGACCACCACACAAGAAGTATGCGAGATGAAAACTAGGTTCCCATTCATGTTATCACGGCCAGTCGAAGTTTGGAAAGCGTACATCCAAGGTTTCCCTTGGATGTACAGACACAACGAGCCTAAAACGCTGACTGATTTGACACAATCGCGACTGCCCTTGACGAGAAGAGCAGTCGCCAAAGGTGAAACGGGAACTTCAGGTTTTTAAATAGCCAAGGTGCAGTCCCCTACGAGATTCGAGGCTTCCAGAAGAAGCAGACGCAATTCGGCATGGCCGCTCCAAAACCCAATTTGCTGATCAGCAGATTGGCGGTCGAACGACTCGGAACACCCGACTGGAGCGACTTTACCAAAGATCAATAGTAATAATAGTAGTAATATTATACCTCTATTCCCAAGACCTGGGAGGTGTCCAACAAGCCCCGACACAACTGGCAAAAGACTGAGAACGGGAGGCCTCCCCCTCGAAACTTCGTAACTCTCAAGGGCACAGCGGGCGATCCGAGTAGGAGCACGCAAGCGGTGGGCGTCAGATCAACATAACACTGCGCTCAGAGATTTGTTCCGCATATGTCGGATTCTGTGAGCAGGTAACGTCCGATATTCCAGAAAGAGATGACACGCTCAATGTATAGTCACACAGATGGGAAACAAAGAGCTTAAGACACGCATGCACCAGAGTCGGACTGCTTCAGATCTCCTTGTCGAGCTCTGATCCCAGCCTCAGTAAGACAATAAGGAACAAAGACGTCTCTCAAGACAAGCTTAAATAGCTAGGGGCAGGCAAAGTATTGTCCAGGTGCCTTTCTCCGGACAAAAAACCATCCAAGACTTTTCTAACAAGTAACCGAAACACGTCTAGACTAAAAGCAAGGGAAGTATGAAGTGAGTGTCCGCAAAAGGCGCGCGGACAGCGTCAGGACTAATCACCCGTCGTATTGCGATGGAGCGGCCCAATGGGTCCCACCTCACGGCTTTCTCGCCGCTCAGCCTGAGAATACAAGAACCAAAGTTCTCTCAACTTCTGCAGCACATGCAAGCAAACTAATAGAAGTGGAGACAAGGGGCTGCCAGTAACAGGGCGAAGGGCAAAATTCACGGGCAACAATCCACTTCAAATAGGCTCTCAGGTATGCAAGAAAGGGAACTTTCCGAAGCTTGGAACACGCACGCACGGCAGTGCTAACCTGCATCGCCTTCAAACAAAAAGGAAAGCTGAAGAGATGGGGAGGACCATCTATTAAAGTATTCAAACCTTCTCAACTAGAAAGTGCCGGCATAAACGAGCAATTCTCGGGCATCAGGAACGATTTGATCAAATGCTTGGCATGCCAAAATCAATCTTTGCGGCATCGAAGCCGTCAAAACGACAATCAGAAGTTTTGCTACTTCGCCGTCCGATAACCGGTTCCATTGACAGCTCGAGGGATGGATGAGAGCAAAAAAGTATCCAACAATGACCAGAAGGCCAAATTAGACCACAACCAGGAACGAGAGGACTTGGTCGGCGAACAAGCTTTGACATTGCTCACTTATGTTACAAGGAGACCAAATGATCGATGATTTACTAGCAGGAAACTATGGCATTCAATATATCAACTCCACTTGCAACACAGCTTTACAATTGCAATGTCAACCCATCAATCACTGGCTCGCAACATTTTGAGCTCCTAAGGATATGAACAGGTGTGCTACACTCTATGTTGCAGCCAAAGAATGCGCTTCCGCGCGCTACCTGCCTTGATCAACTCGTCCTAGTCAAATATTTTCTCTCCAGTGGCAAAAACGTTCCAAATGACAGTACCGACGAGGTAAAGACCAACCGCGACCGTGAAGACCTCGTCCCAAGAACCTGCGAGAAGCCGTGACGAAGTTTCAAACCTGCTGGTTCAGAGGGACGAAAGCAGGGACAGAGTCCATCCCAAAGACTCCTCCTGCTTTCTCATCTGCTTTTCAGCTTCGATTCTGGCGAAGGCAACTTTTTCAATCGCACAACATTCGAATGCGGCCTTTTTCAAGCGCAAGCGAAGGAGCCCAGATGGACTCATTCGCGCGACATCTAAGAAAGAAGATGGGCTTGAGGTTTCAAGGAGGTTTCTAGGCCAGAAACAAACGCGTATGCTGAAGGGAAGCCCCAAATAATTACGCCCGTTGCAGGAAGAGCACTCTCTTCAGAATACATCAGCATACAAATTTGCTTACCGTTTTGAAGAATGTAACCCGTTGCGGCCGTGCCTAAGACCCCGGCCAACACTCCAGCGGTGTTTGACATACCTAACAACACTCCCTGCAAAAGAGCACGACGCGAATCAGGACGTTGTTGCTGCCGAAGGAGCTCAGGAACTTACTGGAGAGCCAAGAAGCAGGAATAGAATCAGGACGGGCGTTCATACGCCGTGGCACAGGCCGTACAACTTTAGGGGCCCGAACAGATCGGGTGTCAAGCAGTTTCCTAGTCTCCACGTCTTCAGGTCTCCAGAGAGTGCGCCGTTTCTGTCGTCCGTTTTGCTACGGTTTCAAAAGGGCTCACGCGCAACGGGCAGAAAGTGGGGCACAAGAATGGTTACTAGCTCGTACCAGCGGAACGTGCTGCTTACACAGTTAGCAAAAAGCAGGCAGTCTGAGCCTTCCTGTCGCAGAAAGTCACTTTCACCCAAGTATTAAACTAGAACAGCCCCCCTCCAGGTACGAGCGTCGAAGAAGACCATCGCCGAGATGACCATGGTCAGCAGCTCAGATCGCGTTTTTATATTTTGAACACATTTACTGACAGAATTCGGCGTTAAGGTGTGTTGCTTGTTGTGTCGGCTACTTGCACCAACGGAAGCTTCATACTTCAGGTCAGAGACTTACTGAATAACGAGGCCCGATATCTTGATGGTTGGAGTAGAGGCCCGACTGGGAGAAGGCGTCGGAGCCCTGAATGGAAACAGAAGCATGGGGTGAGCTGACGAACTAGAGCGGCGGTTGCTGGCTTTCAAGTGCCATTTTTGACTGGGCAGTTGCAAGACATCTCCAGGATCTTTCAAGAATCTGCAGCAATCGGCTCGACATGGCTCCTCCTGATATCTTACCGTTTACCGAAAAACAAATTCAGGAAGAAATCCGATGTGCCCCGGAAGTAAGATACAAAACCGGGACTCCCGAGAATTGAACCCTTCGGTTGACCATCCTCTTTTTGACTGCCAGCTTGACGACTTAGGGTCGCTAAAGTTGAGAGCCGTCAAAAATAAGAAAACCAAATACGAGGCACGCAAGAGCAGTGGTAAGCTTCTCTGACCAATCAGCACAGCTCCGATAACCGAGTCGATTAATGAAGGCCCGTTTCTGTTTGTCTAAGACATTTCCCGAATAAGCCCCCCTAAAACGTTCCTCGCAATGCTTGACATCCGGAAGCTGAAATGGATGTTATTTTTCAAGAAGCACTCAAATCAAGATTTTGGATGAAGGCCGTCAGCAGAATAGCAGCGGAACTACCGAGCGACTACCGAGCGACTATTGCAAATAGTGTGAGAAATCTCCAGTGCAAGTGACCGTTGAAACGGACAGTGCGACAGATGTAGGTAAACACGCTTATCGAGTACATGGGATCTCATGACAAGTTGAACTGCTTACCTGAGACAACATCATACAAAGGACCGCCAGCTTGGGGTCATGTATTGACGATAATTGCGACAAGCAGAGCGCGGGTCCCAGGAACCCTATGCTTTGCATCGCCTTTCGTACGAAGGTTATGCTATAACCCCGGCTAACCAGGGTGTCAGCAATCCAGCCCCCGGTGTTGGAGCAAACCGCCATGGTTAACCAGGGGAGGACGGAGTAAATGCCGGATTCGGTGAGATTGAAACCGAGGACCTGCGCGGGGGGTCAAAAGAAAGGCAAGATTAGCCCCCCCCCCCGGAATCTTGCGTTTCAAACGTCTTCTGCTAAAGTGGACCGCCAAGAAAATCAAGCAGGAAGGCTGAGCAGAAGGCAGACCAGGACCACGATGCACTCCATTGCAAACCTTTCTCTGTGCATTGAGAATTGAAAATTCTGGTACACTGAAGCAGCCACTCTACGGGAATCTCACGGCACGGTTTCACGTTGGCATCCACCTCAGCGAGACGAACCTGCCTGAATCAAGCCTTGAGAAGACAAACTATTGAAGTCCTGCATCTTTAAAAGTAGCCCTGATTCTCCCTCAGCCCCAGGAATGCGAACGCGAACGTCATACTTGTGTCAAGCTGTTACAAGGCCACCCACGTGATAGCCGTTTCCTAGCTATGGCAGAACCAGCATGTAACTCTCGCTTCTGAGACTTCAGTATATCTTCGAAATCCCCAAGATCAATCGTCAAGCCTCGGATGCTTACGTCATGGCATGAACGTCAGCAGGATGAACGTTCCCCATTTGCGGCAGAAGTGGCACGAGATCTCGCTTCTCTAATCCTTAGAGGTTTTCTTACACTCCCAGATCTTAAGTCGTCAACTTTCGTAACGCTCACGTCATGGTAGTACGTGGGCATCCACGTCAGCAGGATGAACGTCCCCCAGTTGTGGCAGAAGTGGCACGAGATGATGGCCCAGACAGGCGGCTTGGAAAGGAGCAATCGCCAGGGGATCTTTTGCACTTTGGACGACTTGACCACGTTCTGAGAAATATAGTCTTTCTCGGATTGGCTGATGTTAGGGTCGTCGAACGGCGTGCTATAGGCCTGCAGGGGAGAGGCGTAGAGATAGAAACACGGACTAATTTGGAAACTGGCATCAGAATGAGCGCGGACATCTGTGGGCTTATCCCAAATCGTCATCACAGCCTTCACGATTTGGACAAAGCTTGGACAAACGGTGCAGAACGTAGAAGAAGGTAGTTCAACGAAGGCTGCTCAAAAATTCCCGAAGAGATGACAGGAATGACGACGAATGACAGCGACGATTGGCATCCATGCCACAAGACGCGAAGTGAGACACGGTTCGTCATCATTGCCAAGCTCACAGTCACTTTGCTAGACCATTCCAACCAAACGCCAACTCCAGACCAGATCACAGTAGGAGGTCAAGCAACAAAGTTCCTTGATGCGTTTCAGGATGGCAAGCAGAACATGACGAATATGTACCGACATGCATTGGATCGCAGATGCAATGTTCGAAGCATGCGCTATTCGCTCATAGTCTACCGCAATCAACGGTCAAACCTCAGGAAAAGTGAGTCAGAGCTCCGCGAACGAGAATTGGGTGCAATGTCTCCTTTCAGAGCCAGTTCCCAATAATCTCTGCCTGGAACTGATCCACTCCCGATCAAATGCCCAATCTTTGCATTCTTCAGAAATTGCAATTATACACGTCAGCCTTCAAATATCATCTGCAGCCCATGTACAAATTGCAAGGGTACCGCAAGGCGTCAGAAGGAGCAGGGTAAAATCGGCTGCGAAATGATGCCATGGTCGTTTGAGCCATCAGTTCAGTCAGACGAGATGAGCAAGTTTGAAGAGGTTTTGTGGGGACACACGCAAGTACAGCGAAGAGAACTGCTAAAGAGTCATCGCTAATGATGCACGGCGTCTTTAACGCCTTTATCAAGCAAGAAAGTCTAGCAAGCTAAAAAAAGCTAAAAAAAGCTAAAAAATTAAGGTCATAATTGACCTGTGAAATTAAGGTCACAGGATGTATCATTGGGTCGTTGTCCCAAGATTGGTCATCATCACCAGCAATCAGGCCTCCATACGCAAAGCTTGAAGACCGAGGCAACTGCTTATATTTTGCCAAAAGCTTGCGACCTTAATTTCTCAAGTGCAGTGAAAGCGCAATAGAGCCAGCAATGGAACTCATGCGAGGAGATTATGGCATCACTCTATGATCTTGATTATGGGTTGTTTGCCCAACGATGCGATCACAGCCGAAACCGTTTCCTGCAGTAAGGCTGAAAACCACAGGAAACTTAGGAGAGAAAACGAGGTGCAGACCCCGACAAGTATGCGCGTCCTCTCAAGAACGTCCATATGTGCGCCCCAGGTTGAAGAGTAAACTTTTCTGACCATTCCTCACTATAAGTGACGTTTATTTAAAAGCATATGTCCTAGATGAGGCCGCTGGAGACGCATTCAAGACATAGTCAGGAAGGAGCGGGGCTGGATATGAGAGGCGGACATCCACGATGCCTGCGCTTCACTCACGAAGCCAGGAATCTAGGTATGCCCAATTTAAACATTGTATGTATACAAGGGCGACATGTCGTGTGGTCTCTGGCCGTACGAGGTTGGAGAGTCGACGGAAAAAGGTAAGCTTCAGAAGGAGTTCACTCTGACCGAAGAGGAACTCAGATTGCGTTCCAGAAAGAGAAAATGCTAGAATTCGCAAAAACTTGCTACACGCCCGACAACATGCAAAAACCCAGAGAATCCATGAAAATAAGATCTGTGAACGAGATAAAGTAAGAGGTTGACAGACAAATGGAAAATCAGAAGGACCTGATCACAGCAATGTACAGTCTACTTGATTGGATGGCACTGAGTTTTTGATCGGACTCCACCGCTCTGTCATGTAGACCAACTCGCAAGATTTTATACTTGCATAGTCTGGGGAAGGGCGAAAAGGGAAGGTGTACAGTCGACTATCATCGCGTCGGGGGAATCGACGCGAAAATTCTGCTGAAAGCAGTGGTTCCTGCCAGCTCTGTCGTCCTGGCCAAGATGTAAAACGGACAAAAAGTCAGCAAATTCAGACAACCGAGGGTATCATAGCCACGAAGTCGTAATGGAGTTGTAAGGTTTT